GACGAGCAAATCAGCGATTGCAGAACATGCACTCGATGCAGGCATCAACCACTGGATTGAATTTCACCGCACGCAAGTGCTCTCCACCGAACGTCACTTTTACTCAAGAGTTGTACGTGAAGCGATTGAGATTAAAAAGCATAAAACTTTCAATCGAGAAGATGGTTTTAAATTATCTACAGCGTGGAATCCAGTGTTAAAAAACATACCACCTCGCTTTTCTGCGCAATCGGTTAAACACAAGAATAGGGACTCATCGGTTTGCTTACAGAATAGGGACACTGTTAGTGTGGTATGTGACGGTACATGGCGACACAAAAACAATATCGAAAATGTGCGGGTAGATGAAGAGCCTTCTACTTCACGGATTCGACGACGGAGGGCGTGCGCCGATGAGCCAGTCAGCCTGTGACCACGGCCGGTGCAACCTGGTCGAAACGTCAGGCAAACCAGAGGTATGTAATACCCTAAATAAGAGATCGCGTTAATTCCCGTTAAATAATATTAATGGTCATTTAAACGTTATACATAATTAGTTGCCCCCCTTCTGTAATTGTTAGGCACATTTTTGAATTTGTTTCACTTATTTTTTTTAGTTATTTCAAAAAAAACATTTCCTGCTGGGGTAACGTTTGAAACGTTACCGCAGCCAGACATTTTATTTTTTAATTGGAATATTGAAATAAATGTTAGCTAAATAATTAGTTATCTGGACGAGGTAAATGTTACAACTTATTTGGTATTTGTATTTTCTTCGGCTGCGAAGTTATTAAAGATCCTGCTGGAACAACGTTTGTGGGTTTGCAGGATCTCTGAAACGGGTAAGCGGATTGTTACCATCTTTTGAACATAACTTCTTAAGGATTAGTTTTAATTTGTTCAACAATAAATTAACAAAAATAATGGACCGTTTAAAAATTATTTAAGTAAGTATGAAAACACTTCAATACGTCCTAACACTTTGAATCAGACTTCTAAAGACTTACTTTAAACGTTATTCTATTGCTTTAACTACCTTCAAATGTACACGAATTTTCGTAAGTATATGTAAGTGACTAAAAAGTTATGATGAAATGTAGCGTTCACGATCACAATGTGTGCGGCTTTTTTTGGCCACCGATAACCTGTGTGTGGATATATAAACTGAATGTTATGCCAATAATTAGTTGTTTAGTTCAGTTGTCTACCTGTAAAATTTCAGCGTCGTACATATAATAATTTACGAGATAATTAAATAAAAGTCATTGGAAGGTGCAAGACCGTGGTGACCCGACCATGTTTAGGTGGTTACAAAAAGCGATTACCCAGTACATTGCGCTGTCTTTTAAAATATGTAGGATATTATTTGCAAGTTTACTACGGATATGTACATAAGTGTTACAAAAAACTACATGTTTTTTAAATAATTTTTATTTGGCATTGTTTATTGCATAATTAGTAATTAGCCGGGAGATTAGGTATTGTTTTGTATACTTTTGTTTTCTCGTAATGTTTAGTTGAATTGTTTATAGTTGTTCATAGAATTGGTACCTGTGTAGTATTTGTTAATTGAGGTTTAATTTTAGGGTAGGTATAGTACGTAGTACTTATATCTCGATTCATAGGTCATTAATTACTCATTTACATCAATGATACTTGGTATGTATAAACGTTATAAACTAGACCCTAGTGCATAAGCATTAAGTACTAGGACCTAATAACCTTTATTACGTTTATATTTATATCTTCTTAATAGTATGTTCTTTTTTAAATTAATTTTTAAAAACAGTATAAACAAATTCAAAACAACGTGTAAAAAAATCTACACCTCTCTAGAAAAGCGTTTTATAAGAAATCTAGCAAATGGCCAAACGCTGTCGCAGCGGAAACTCGTCCGTAGGAAAAAAAAAGAAATAGTTTTTCGTGAATAACTCTCCAATGGTTGGATGCACATATTTTTACTTACCCGACAATTACGCTACGTTCTACACTAAATATCTGTTAATGTCAAACAATAAAATTTGAACTTTTTCCACTGCGGCAACGCACACCATTTAGTTTAAACATACACAATTACCTCACTTCATTCAATAATTTTTGGAACCATTTTCTTTCTTCTAGGTCCATAGGATAGAAAAACAGTTTTTCGTGAAAACCCCCCAATGGTTGGATGCACAAATTTTTACTTACCATACACAATTACACTAAATATCTGTTAAACTCAAATAATGAAATTCGAACTTTTGCCGCTGGGGCAACGCATACTGTATTGACCTCGTTTTTTTTTCTTTAAGATATTTGTTAAATGTTTGTGTTGGGTTACAGATATACATATGTGCACAAGAGAATAATACTACTCTGTCAAAAAATTACCGGGAATAGATCAATAATACACAAAATGTTGGTTATTCATCCAAATTTATTTCATCACCTTCAAAGTATGCTCCTTCAGAAACGATACACTTACGCCAAAGAATAATCCAATCATCGAAACATTTTTTAAACGCTGTTTCCGGAATTGAGTTCAGTTCTCGCCGCGAATTCTCCTTTATGTCTTCTACCGATTGAAGACGGGTGCCACGAAGTGATAATTTGAGTTTAGGAAAAAGAAAGAAGTCGGCTGGAGCCTTATCTGGTGAATATAGTGGTTGCTCGATGGTATTTGTTGTGTTTGGTCAAAAATTCGTTTACAATGATGGCCTTGTGCGAAGGCGCATTATCGTAGTGCAAAATCCAAATTTATTTTCTTTCCACAAATCGGGCCTTTTTCGTCGAATTTGCTCTCTTAAATGCCGCATAACGCTCAAATAATATTCTTTATTATCTGTTTGACCTTCCGGCAAGAATTCCGAGTGCACAACACCGCGATAGTCAAAGAAAACAGTCAACATGACTGACTTTTGATCGACTTTGGCGTGGTTTTTTCTTTTTCGGTTCAGTTGGAAGTCGCCACTCCGAAGCTTGTTGACTAGTTTGGATGTCAAACTCCTAAACCCACGTCTCGTCACCAATAACAATGCGTTTCATGAATTGACGCGTTCTCTCATGTCCTTAGCGACTCTCATGCAATTGAGTTTTTGGGACTATCCGAGCGGTAACATGTTTCATACCCAAATGATTAGTTAAAATGTACGGATCGACTCGTGAGATACAGAAAGCTCGACGGCTATCTCTCTCAAAGTTGAATGAGGATTTTCAGTCACTATTTCCTTCACTTTTGCGATGTTAACTTCAGTTGCAGACGTTGATGGCATACCAACGCGAGGCAAATTTTCCATCACATCTCGACCGCTTTTGAACGCTTTGTACCACTCATAAGCATGTGTTTTTGATAAAGTCGATTCACCGTAAGCTTTCTGTAACATTTTGATGTTGACTCCGAACACGAAATTCCATTGGCGATGCAAAATTTAATACCAACTCTTTGTTCGATGTTTTTGTCCATTATGAAATTCGCAATGCACACTGAATATGATATAACTAAATACAGCACTGTATTTAATATAAATAACAAATGCAACTCAAACGCCGCGCCAAAATGGAAAAGGGTTGTGCCAACCTAACAACAAAAAAAGCAAAAATTTTAATTTGGAACCATAAACAAATCATCCATTTCCGATACTTTTTTGGCTGAATTTATATGAGATTACAGAACAGTTAGACAAGAAAAATATTTGTTATGCAATTATTTGCATATTTGTTACCTCAAAACTCTTTCATTTGTAAACTAATTTTTTGGTTTATTTGGAAGGGTATATTTCCCCTTTAGGTTCATTCAAATGTGAAAAAAAAAATACCACTCCTCGTTTTGAAAAATTTTGTAATGTGGAAAGCAATATATTTTCGGGTACAAATGTAACATCTTACTACCTTATCTAAATAAAGTAAGGGACTTATTAAACCACCTTCAAATACACTGGAAAGAACTATTGCTATTATAATGTTACCTGTTATATTGAGAGTACTTATAAAGTTTTTTACTTATATTTGTAATTATTTTTAATTTTTAGTGCTCTTTGTCAGTACTGTTTGAAGTTGGTTGAACTTTTTTTTAAATAATTTTGTAATAATATGTTACGTAAGAATAGAGGGTTTTGAGAAATCTTATTTATCCTAGTCACAATCATCCTTACGTAATAAATGATTATCGTTAGAGGATATTAAAATTGTGCTTCCTCTTGCAAACCTTGCACCAAGAATGACTAAACATCAGGCAGATGTATATACATTCCTTGAGAATATTTTTAATAAATTTAATATTTGTTAGAAATGGTTGTCATCTCTTATTGTTAATTTTTCTATTATTTTTATCTTGTAACATAGTGCCCCTTGCCCTGTAACAGAGTATCCCAAATGTTCAATGTTACAATAGACTGATCTGATTAAATTGCAATTTGAACTAAGTTGCTGCTATTAATGTTTAAATAGTTTTAAATAAAGAAAGCCTATTATGGTTTATATCCATGTCAGTTACAAGTTGATTAAATAAATATTTCTGATGCAACATTATTGTTTGTGTTTATTGTAACACTTTGACCCACCTTAAACTACCCTACTTGCAGGATTTAAACAATAATATCTAAAATGCTGGTTTTATTGTTTGTTTAAACTCATTATCAGCCTATCGTAATCCACTGTTGAACGAACTCCCCCAAGGTACACCAACTATCCTGGTCTTGGGCAGTCTGCATAAATCTATTTGTTTAAACTTCATCCATTGCTAAAACTAGTGATTAAAATAAGATTTAACAATTAGTGTAACTAGTATCTCCTTGGTGGAGGGCAATCAATATTGATACCACATTAATATAATTTCACTTTGAGACAAATTATAAACAGAATATAAATACACTTTAAATCTGGAGACTTCTAGTTCTTTTCACATAATACAACCAGTTTCTTTTAAGTACTATTAAAAAAAACATTTTAAAACACCATTTTTCCTTTCATACATGGAGGTATTATTTAAGATAATAATAAAGAATACCATTCTGCTCTTAATGGAGAATCTACAGTTAATATCAAGTACTTGTTCCAGAAGAGGTCATGTTACCGTTCTGTATGTTTCCTGACACAGTTCTTGTAGCAGCCAGGTGAGACGCCTTTAAACGATCCAATTCATTTACCCAGGAGCGAACATGCTCCAATCTATGCCAAGCCATCTGTAATACTTTTTGTGATGCATATCCAGATCCTTCATGAGGCTGCCCAGTGGATACTTGAGTCAAATAGTTAATTTGATCACTGAGCTTGGTTTCTACCTGACTTAACGTTCTTAAAAACTGTGAAGTATTGGTCTCAGCTTGTTTCTGACCTGACTTTTCTTTACTTAGCTCTAGAAGAGCTTGAGCTGAAAATAGATACACATTTTGACCAACTAATACTGTTAAGCTCTAGTTCATTATCACATTCAGAATTACCATATGTTTAAATACATTGTATAAAGACTTACCAGCACATTGCAGGCATGTAATAATATCCTTTTCAATGTCATCAAGAATTTGAATTCTCTCCATGGGGGCAGTCATACTTAGCTGATGAGGTATGTTTCGTTGTTTGTTTTTAAAAATAAATTGACGGAATTTAATCAAAAACAAGCCAGAAAAGTTGAATAGTATTTTTTCCAATTTCTGTAAATATATCGTATTTTCCATTTGACAACAAAATACGAATAATGAAAAGGAGCTGTCAGTGAGTTATAGTCATAGAAAAATGAGCATAGAGTGAACAAGAGCCTCAATCTTGCAATATGGCCAACGAGAGATGTGGGGGATCAGTGCAAGTAAAACCCAATAAACGATGATATCGAATTACATTTGATATGGATATTTTATTTTAACACCTATGATGACATGTACAATTCAATAGTCAGTTGTTTTTACTTTATGACGCATATAATATAGCTTGTAGACAGGCATAGATAGTGGCTACGGAGGTGTGCAACTCCTTACGTTATCACAAGAGAGATTAATAAAAGCTAATTCCCTCTATCCCTTTTTAGTCGAGCTATGTGGTTAGCTGGGGAAATTTCTAATTTCCTGTTCTATGATCAAAACCATGCCCATCAATTGCAGCTTAGCTAAACAGAGACAGAGGTAACTATCGGGCGTCCATCTCTCTCGTTGCCTGTATAACTTCCACTTACAGTCAGCTGTACCCCGGACAGAAGGGCAGAGAATGAAAAAGTTTAAAAAACAAAATCTTGAAGTATCCCTGTACCCTGTACCCTGTACCAAAATATTATATTTTTGATTATTGTAGCATTTTCTGAATTAATCAATGCAATAAACGAATACTTGGAACATAACTGCAATAAAAAATACGTATACAAGAATGTCAGACAAAAATATTTAGAAGAAAGAAATTTGGAATGGTTGGGCTGTTCTGCCCATAAAGATCTATTAAAAGAACAGTTTATTAAGATCATACCACGATTACTAATGTTTAATTGGTGCCGAGGCAGAACAGTTTAAAGAAAGATAACATTGGCAAATTTAAGTACAGTTCAAAAATTAGCCTACAACAAGTTTATGAAAAGCAGGAAATATAAGATTAAAAACTAAAAGACTAAAAAATGAAAACTGATTTCAAAATGAGGGAAACCGACTTTTCGCATCACTATTTTATCGATGTCGATCCGACGATTTTGATGGTATGCACTGGCCTACGTTCAGCTCACTAGCACCCCTAGAAGATTATCGTCATGAAGACTCAAAATCAACCTACCCCACCCCAGCCTGCAAAATAATAATATTTGTAATAATAAAATACTAATCGATAGATTTTCAATAGCTTAATTCAACCACGTTGTCCTTTAAAATTGCTCACCTTAAATTATTTAATTAAAAATCAATAAAGTCGTTGAAAGAAAAATTCATTTATCTTTTGATATATACAATATTTTAAATTGCTCAAAGGGTTAAAAAACTTCTCAAGTTGCTTTTATAATTGCTCAAGTACAGTTTGTAACAGCTCCACTTTACTTAATTATTAAATAAATATAAATAGTTTGAACAAATTCAACGTAAATAGAAATGTGAGCGCTGCGCATGCGCACAAACAGTGACGCGAAGCAAAATAAAAAAGGCCTCAAGTGATTATCAGGTATTTTTATTACTTATTAACTTATTCATTTTGTTGAATTTATTTAAAAATCAAATCATGACTAAAAATTACCTTTATTTTATAACTGTATATCAGCAAAGTAATTGCAAAATATTATTTTTTGCTCCAAAACAAAATAAGTAGTAGTATTAACATGTTCTTTAAAAACGTTTGCCAATATTTTTGATTATAAATAAATACTTATACGTTTGTTCAGGAGTACTACTAACGTACATATTTCTTAATCTGTGACCCCGGGTTCTCTCTATGGTTAAAGTTGAATTAGGATAGTGATGCGCCGATCGAAGTTGATCTTTTCGAAGATCAGTCGCGGTCATTTAATCGCATTGATTTTCGAATCGAATCAAAACCTTGTGATTAGATCGCAGATCCATTCAAAACCATTAAAAATTCGCTCTCTATCCAGAGATTGTGGTTTTTACACAATGTAATCTAGGTATGTTATTATTATTCAACTTTACATCTTGCTTATCATTGGTGTTTGCAATTGGTGACTGTGGTTAGAAAAATGACACGAAATAAACAATAAGCTCGTGTTTATCCAAGTGAAACTTTTTTACATCGCCTCAATTTTTTTGTCCATCTATCGCATGTCGCATTACAGCCGGCCGCGGAGTAGGGGAAAAGTGAAAGGCTCTCGGTAGAGTAGCCAAGGCCAATATGGCTCACATATAAATGTAAAAAAAAAACACCATATTGCTATTTTAAACCCCAAATAAATCATTTTAAACGGTTGGAAACTCACCTACAAAAATAAAAGAACTGTGTTTTACACTTCATTTTAATTATTTTATTATTTTATTTTCGACTAGACTCGACAAAGTGGTTACTAGCTTCGATATTTTTTTTAAATATTGCCGATAATAATGTTACGTTTAATATTTATAAAATAATACTGGCCTATTCTCAAAATGAAATAAAGTCAACTACTTTTATTGCTTTTTACCACACACTTTTGTTTATCGTGCTACTAGTAATACTAGAAATGGTATTAGCAAACAAAATTAAAATCTTATTTGAATTATATTCAGACCATATACATTTTAATTTTATCCATATCGAATGTGTGCTCTTTAAGGACAAAATCAAACTGGTATTGTAGTATTCTGTGTGACTATTACATTTTAAAAAAATTAGTCGATTTCTACGATTGACACTAAATTTCGAATGACACTTCTCTATTTGACTATTAATCTCGTTTCCGAGCTGAGCCATATAATCCAGTGAAATCGTTCATTTTTGTCGCGACTGTTATCGAACATGGTTAGTTATCCGCCTAATGTTTTAAATCAATTTATTGTATTCTCATCTTTTATTGTTTTTGTAATAATTTGACTGAAGTATATTTAATTTAGTGTTGTACAGTGAGCACCATTTATATTTTTTAAATTCTCTGTACGCTGTACCTATAAAACGATAAAAGAAGGATAGAAAGTTTCCACATGATGAGACCCTATTTTTAAATTTTATACGGTTAGAACCTGAGTCTAATGTGAAGATTATACTAGGGCGGACTGATTTTACTGTTGGTTAACTATGTTTGGATGTACTATGGCCACGTTATACATTATAAGTTTGTTTTCAGTCGCATAGGAAGTTTTCGGCGCCCCGCCATGGGTCGATGGGATTCTACCCCAAGAAGAGGTCCCGTCGCCATCGTGGAAAGGTCAAGGCTTTCCCCAAAGATGACTCCAGCAAGCCTGTCCATCTTACCGCCTTCATAGGGTACAAGGCTGGTATGACCCACGTGGTTCGTGAACCCGACCGTCCTGGTTCAAGTGAGTACTATTCGCAATATGGCACTGCTTTTCTTTCAAAGTTTCAGTACTATAAAATGAATTCAAGCAATTACCCATGTTTGGTCCCATCATAATGTTCTCTGTAAAAACTTGTTCATTTTATTAAGGACTGTTATCAATACTTTATTAAAAACTCTTATTTTACAGAGATTAACAAGAAGGAGATTGTAGAGGCTGTAACCATAATTGAGACTCCCCCAATGGTTGCGATTGGTGTGGTCGGTTACATTGAAACTCCTCATGGACTCCGGGCTTTACTCACAGTGTGGGCTGAGCACATGTCTGAGGACTGCCGCCGTCGCTTCTACAAGAACTGGTGAGAAGTTATTACATAGTTATTGTAGTAAAATATTAATACCCTGAAATTTAAAGTATCTTTATTAAATGTAATCGTTTTTATTCATTTTACTAATAATATGTCAACAGCTCTCCTCTTCAAAATGAGAGTTTACGATTGAATATGCCTGGAGCATATTTCCACCAATTGGTCTCCGCTCAATGATGAGGCCAATTGGTTTTTGTTACAGTGGCACTGTGTGATTTATGATAGGTACAAATGCAAGAAGAAGGCCTTCACCAAGGCCAGCAAGAAATGGCAGGATGAGCTTGGACGCAAGTCTATTGAGAAAGACTTCAAGAAAATGATCCGTTACTGTAGTGTTGTGAGGATCATTGCTCACACTCAGATGAAGCTGCTCAAGCAGCGTCAAAAGAAAGCTCACATCATGGAGATCCAAGTTAATGGAGGTACCATTGAAGACAAAGTTAAATGGGCAAGAGAACACTTAGAGAAGCCCATCCCCATTGATTCTGTATTCACTCAAGATGAGATGATTGATTGTATTGGAGTCACCAAGGGCAAAGGATACAAAGGTATTTAAACTTTTACATTATATGCTGCACATTATAAATGCATGGATTGTGTAGTAGTTTAAGCTGTCACCTCACTATATCCTACTGCGCTAAGTATTGTGGCTTCAATTTCCATATGGAACAACACTTTGTTTGATCCACAAATTGTTCTATGTCAGGGTTTTCAAGTTCCCCGTAAGTAATAATATTTGCCTAGTGCAGAGAGAGTTGAAAAATAAGATTGCTGCTTCTTTTTCAGTGATGACATCACTATTATAACATAACTAAATTAGTGTGTGGATATTAATTTTGCAACATAATAAAAAAATACAGTGATGTTCACATTGGTCTTACTATGTCACTCAGGTGTAAAAGTAACATCCTTAAGGATAACATCGACTTCCACAATTTTATTCATGCCTTATCGTTATGATTCAACACTATTGAAATATTTCAGGTGTGACTTCTCGTTGGCACACTAAGAAGTTACCGCGTAAGACACATAAGGGTTTGCGGAAGGTTGCTTGTATTGGAGCATGGCATCCTTCAAGAGTGTCATTCACTGTAGCCCGTGCTGGTCAAAAGGGCTACCACCATCGTACTGAAATGAATAAGAAGATTTACAGGATTGGACAAGGTAATTATAACTGACTTATAATTTACCAGATTTTGCCTACAGTTCTGCCTAAGTAGCCTATGTTACTCACTGAGAATGTAGCTTTCCATTGGTGAAAGAATTTTTAGAATCGGTGGTTTAGGTATGAAAGCAAAAACAAAAAGAAACACATAATATATGGATGGAAATATTGATTATTATTTATAAAATATTACTTTTATCACAACTAACGATTAATCCAGTTAAATTATTCATTGATTGAATCTTATATTATCAACAGCAGCGCTTAAATGATAAAGATAGTTTATATTGTTATTATATACAGAGCATTTTCTAGACTACTGGGAGTGACCAAACAGCATCCTACATCTACTGCATTCTATTTTTACAGGTATCCACACAAAGGATGGCAAAGTTATTAAGAACAATGCCTCTACAGAGTATGACCTTTCTGAGAAGTCTATCACGCCTATGGGTGGTTTCCCGCACTATGGTGAAGTTAACAATGATTTTGTAATGATCAAGGGTTGTTGCATGGGACCCAAAAAGCGGGTTATTACATTGAGAAAGGTATATTTATTAATATCAATATAACTTTAAATATCAAGAATTATTCTCTAGCTTGATTCTCTGTACTAATGTTTTCTTAATGTTTTTTTGTAGTCTCTGCGCGTGCACACAAAGAGGGCTGCTCTTGAGAAAATCAATCTCAAGTTCATTGATACATCTTCCAAATTCGGTCATGGTCGCTTCCAGACACCAGCTGACAAAGCTGCCTTTATGGGAACTCTTAAGAAAGACCGTATTCGTGAAGAAGCCGCTGCTACTACGACGCCAGCGGCTGCAGCGCAGTCCTAAATATCTATGGACCATAAAATATAATATTAAAAACATGATTTGTTTTAATTGTATTCTAAATAGTTCTTATGGGCTTTCTCCTGATGCATATTTCCCTATTGTTGGTATCTATTTCATTATTTTATTAATGTCCGTTTGGATTGAGGAGCCACTCTTCAAATTCTCTTCAATCGTAAAGAAATTAATATATTATTTAGTAGTCATTTAAAAAAAATTGTAGCCGCGATCCTCGATTTTGTAGTATAATACTTTTCAAGTATTATGAACATAAAGGTGGCTCCTCAGTGTGCGTTACCCCAGCAAAATAATGTCGAAAATGGTCATTTAAACTTTATAGATAATTAGTTGCTCCCCTTCTGTAATTGTTAAGCACATTTTTAAATTTGTTTCACTTAAACTTTTTTAGTTATTTCAAAAAAACATTTCCTGCTGGAGTAACGTTTGAAACGTTACCGCAGCCAGACATTTTCTTTTTTAATTGTAATATTGAAATAAATTTTAGCTAAATAATTAGTTATCTGGACTAGGTAAATGTTACAACTTATTTGGTATTTGTATTTTCTTCGGCTGCGAAGTTATTCGAAATCCTGCTGGAGTAACGTTTGTGGGTTTGCTGGATCTCTGAAACGGGTAAGCGGATCGTAACCATCTTTTGTACATAACTTCTTAAGGCGCTGTCTCCACGAGCGAGAGAATCGCGGCGATATTATCGTCGTGCCACGTATTTCTATATACTCTCAATGAACGCGTCTCCACACGGCGATGTTATCGCGGCGATGCGTGTGCGTTACCCCAGCAAAATAATGTCGAAAATGGTCATTTAAACGTTATAGATAATTAGTTGCTCCCCTTCTGTAATTGTTAAGCACATTTTTAAATTTGTTTCACTTAAACTTTTTTAGTTATTTCAAAAAAACATTTCCTGCTGGGGTAACGTTTGAAACGTTACCGCAGCCAGACATTTTCTTTTTTAATTGTAATATTGAAATAAATTTTAGCTAAATAATTAGTTATCTGGACTAGGTAAATGTTACAACTTATTTGGTATTTGTAATTTCTTCGGCTGCGAAGTTATTCGAGATTCTGCTGGAGTAACGTTTGTGGGTTTGCTGGATCTCTGAAACGGGTAAGCGGATTGTAACCATCTTTTGTACATAACTTCTTAAGGATTAGTTTTAATTTGTTCGACAATAAAATAACAAAAATAATGGACCGTTTAAAAATTATTTAGGTAAGTATGAAAACACTTCAATACGTCCTAACACTTTAAATAAGACCTCTAAAGACTTACTTGAAACGTTATTCTATTGCTTGTAACTACCTTCAAATGTATACGAATTTTCGTAGGAATACTGTAAGTGACTAAAAAGTTATGATGAAATGTAGCTCTGCACGTTCACGATCACAATGTGTGCGGCCTTTTTTGGCCACCGATAAACCTGTGTGTGGATATATAAACTGAATGTTATGCCAATAATTAGTTGTTTAGTTCAGTTGTCTACCTGTAGAATTTCAGCGTCGTACATATAATAATTTACGAGATAATTAAATAAAAGTCATTAGAAGGTGCAAGACCGCGGTAACCCGACCATGTTTAGGTGGTTACAAAAAAGCGATCACCCAGTACATTGTGCTGGCTTTTAAAATACGTAGGATATTATTTGCAAGTTTACTACGGATATGTACATAAGTGTTACAAAAAACTACATGTTTTTTAAATATTTTTTATTTAGGATTGTTTATTGCATAATTAGTCATCAGCCGGGAGATTAGGTATTGTTTTGAATGCTTTTGTTTTCTCGTAATGTTTAGGTGAATTGTTTGTAGTTGTTCATAGAATTGGTACCTATGTAGTATTTGTTAATTGAAGTTTAATTTTAGGGTAGGTATAGGTAATTTAAGTTTTGAAGAGTGTAACGTATGCGTTGTAAATAGGTATTTTGTGAATAGATGGGGATTTTTTTAAGTGATGAATCGACTTAGGCTAGCATATCGCGAACAAACTCTGTATTGCATTATTTCTGTAATATTGTTGGAGAAAATAAAATATTTGATCACAAAATCGCGGTGAGTTAAATTATAATAAAATAAATTATTTATGTAAAATTAGTAATAAGTGATATACCTACCTAAATGTTATGATCGTTTTTAATTTGTTCACCCTGAACGAAATTTCAATATTAGCATTAGTAATTAATATCCTAAGACAAGAATTGACAATTAATTAAATTGAATCGAATTAGCATTAATGCCTATTATTAGTAATTAGGTACACACATATTGAAGAACTCTCAAGAATACGATAAATATTTGCAAAAATAGAAAGCGGAAGCGCACACGTACTTTACAACACGTATATTATCTGCCTAAGGGTCAAGTTTAGTGCACTAGATGCAAATTGCAAACAATGAAGTATCCCTTCGCCCCTCCCCTCCCGCGTTCTAGCGAAGGATGTATTATTAGCGATTCTTGATTGACAAATATTATCTGACCAATAATTTTATCTATAAAAATGTATCACTTTCACTCGATAAATTAAATTACCGTTATTATATCAAAATATCATTCAACAACTGTTCGTTTTTAACAGAAATCAACAGTAACGGGCTCAACGCTTAACGGTAGGTACATAGGTATAGATAATTCTCGGTTCTAGGTATAGACCACAGAACAATATTACCTACTCTTACGAGGTTTACGACTGTTGGGCGATGCAATGTTGATGCATTCTAATTTACAACTGTATTCTTCTACTATTCGGTCTATTTTAACTTATTGTAGATGACTTGTTGCTTTAAATATTTTGATGCATTCAAGTCTAAGCTCTATACACCCCAAAATAAAATACAATTACTTTAGTGTTATTTCTTTACAAAAAAAAAATTAAAGAAATGAAACGATTTCTTATTGGTTTAAATTTTCGTTTTATTGCAGTCAGGTGAATCGTTCATACATGTATCTACATATTTATAATTTTAGCGGACCAGTGCAGATTTTCTGTTGATTGTAGCTCCGGTAGTAAAAAAGACTAAATAAATTTTAAGTAAAGAAACTAGTGCTTAAGATCAATTAGGGAAAAAAACAAAATAAATAATAGGTAATAATAATGAATAAATATTGAATGTATTTAACACTGTACGCAACTGTACCGAAATCGTAAGGTGTATTACACTAAAGATTTTAAAAGACAGCGCAATATACTGGGTGATCGCTTTTTTGTAACCACCTAAACATGGTCGGATTACCACGGACTTGCACCTTCTAATGACTTTTATTTAATTATCTCGTAAATTATTATATGTACGACGCTGAAATTCTACAGGTAGACAACTGAACTAAACAACTAATTATTGGCATAACATTCAGTTTATATATCCACACACAGGTTTATCGGTGGCCAAAAAAGGCCGCACACATTGTGATCGTGAACGTGGAGAGCTACATTTCATCATAACTTTTTAGTCACTTACAGTATTCCTACGAAAATTCGTATACATTTGAAGGTAGTTACAAGCAATAGAATAACGTTTCAAGTAAGTCTTTAGAGGTCTTATTTAAAGTGTTAGGACGTATTGAAGTGTTTTCATACTTACCTAAATAATTTTTAAACGGTCCATTATTTTTATTATTTTATTGTCGAACAAATTAAAACTAATCCTTAAGAAGTTATGTACAAAAGATGGTTACAATCCGCTTACCCGTTTCAGAGATCCAGCAAACCCACAAACGTTACTCCAGCAGGATTTCGAATAACTTCGCAGCCGAAGAAAATACAAATACCAAATAAGTTGTAACATTTACCTAGTCCAGATAACTAATTATTTAGCTAAAATTTATTTCAATATTACAATTAAAAAAGAAAATGTCTGGCTGCGGTAACGTTTCAAACGTTACCCCAGCAGGAAATGTTTTTTTGAAATAACTAAAAAAGTTTAAGTGAAACAAATTTAAAAATGTGCATAACAATTACAGAAGGGGAGCAACTAATTATCTATAACGTTTCAATGACCATTTTCGACATTATTTTGATGGGGTAACGCACACCGGCGATGCGACGAGTGGCAATGTGCGCGCGTAACGTCGTCGTATCGCCGCGGTATCGTCGCTACTAGCGGCGCTCGCAGCGAGCGCGCTGTCAAATGCACGACGTAGTGGAATAGGATGTGTCCACCAACGGCGCTTTTTTTCCTTTCTTAATAACAATAACTGCATATTCACTAGCGTACTTGCACAAGCACCCCATAACACTACATCCATAATAAAGAATTATTTTATTGACTGAGACACTACTTATTTTGCTCTCGTCTGGCACCTAACTGAACCCTTTCAACAAATAAAAGCACAACGCAAAATCTGCGATTCCGTTACGAGTCGTCGCGGACGCGCTGCGATTCCGTCACGAGTCGTGACGATACGCTGGCGGAATAATCGCTCGTTCGTGGAGATTACCCGACGATAGAAGCGCGGACTCGTCGCGATTCTCTCGCTCGTGGAGACAGCGCCTAAGGATTAGTTTTAATTTGTTCGACAATAAAATAACAAAAATAATGGACCGTTTAAAAATTATTTAGGTAAGTATGAAAACACTTCAATACGTCCTAACACTTTAAATAAGACCTCTAAAGACTTACTTGAAACGTTATTCTATTGCTTGTAACTACCTTCAAATGTATACGAATTTTCGTAAGTATACTGTAAGTGACTAAAAAGTTATGATGAAATGTAGCTCGCCACGTTCACGATCACAATGTGTGCGGCCTTTTTTGGCCACCGATAAACCTGTGTGTGGATATATAAACTGAATGTTATGCCAATAATTAGTTGTTTAGTTCAGTTGTCTACCTGTAAAATTTCAGCGTAGTACATATAATAATTTACGAGATAATTAAATAAAAGTCATTAGAAGGTGCAAGACCGTGGTAACCCGACCATGTTTAGGTGGTTACAAAAAAGCGATCACCCAGTACATTGTGCTGGCTTTTAAAATATGTAGGATATTATTTGCAAGTTTACTACGGATATGTCCATAAGTGTTACAAAAAACTACATGTTTTTTAAATAATTTTTATTTAGGATTGTTTATTGCATAATTAGTAATCAGCCGGGAGATTAGGTATTGTTTTGAATGCTTTTGTTTTCTCGTAATGTTTAGGTGAATTGTTTATAGTTGTTCATAGAATTGGTACCTATGTAGTATTTGTTAATTGAAGTTTAATTTTAGGGTAGGTATAGGTAATTTAAGTTTTGAAGAGTGTAACGTATGCGTTGTAAATAGGTATTTTGTGAATAGATGGGGATTTTTTTTTAAGTGATGAATCGACTTAGGCTAGCATATCGCGAACAAACTCTGTATTGCATTATTTCTGTAATAATGTTGGAGAAAATAAAATATTTGATCACAAAATCGCGGTGAGTTAAATTATAATAAAATAAATTATTTATGTAAAATTAGTAATAAGTGATATACTTACCTACCTACAAGTTATGATCGTTTTTAATTTGTTCAATTTAGCTCAATATTAGCATTAGTAATTAATATCCTAAGACAAGAATTGACAATTACTTAAATTGAATCGAATTTGCATTATTGCCCATTATTAGTAATTAGGTATACACATATTGAAGAATTCTCAAGAATACGATAAATATTTGCAAAAATAGAAAGCGGAAGCGCACACGCACTTTACAAGACGTATATTATCTGCCTAAGGGTCAAGTTTAGTGCACTAGATGCAAATTGCAAACAATGAAGTATCCCTTCGCCCCTCCCCTCCCGCGTTCTAGCGAAGGATGTATTATCGGCGATTCTTGATTGACAAATATTATCTGACCAATAATTTTATCTATAAAAATGTATCACTTTCTCTCGATAAATTAAATTACCGTTATAATATCAAAATATCATTCAACAACTGTTCGTTTTTAACAGAAATCAACAGTCACGGGCTCAACGCTTAGCGGTAGGTACATAGGTATAGATAATTCTCGGTTCTCGGTATAGACCACAGAACAATATTACCTACTCTTACGAGGTATACGACTGTTGGGCGATGCAATGTTGATGCATTCTAATTTACACCTGTATTCTTCTACTATTCGGTCTATTTTAACTTATTGTAGATGACTTGATGCTTTAAATATTTTGATGCATTCAAGTCAAAGCTCTATACACCCCAAAATAAAATACAATTACTTTATTGTTATTTCTTTACAAAAAAGAATCAAAGAAATGAAACGATTTCTTATTGGTTTAAATTTTCGATTTATTGCAGTTAGGTGAATCGTTCATACATGTATCTACATATTTATAATTTTAGCGGACCAGTGCAGATTTTCTGTTGATTGTAGCTCCGGTAGTAAAAAAGACTAAAGAAATTTTAAGTAAAGAAACTAGTGCTTTAGATCAATTAGGGAAAAAAACAAAATAAATAATAGGTAATAATAATGAATAAATATTGAATGTACACTGGTCAGCAAATAAACCGAGCCACCCGCTACCTAGGAACTCTGATTCGATTTTCTCAAAAGTATAAAACTTACAACTATCAAAGTTATACCTACAAAAAGTGCGTTTCATGGTGATTAAAATGACTAAAAATTAATTCGAAAGTACCGTCAACTCACATTGTAATCAAGCAACAAACACAATGCTAACGATTTGCTCTGTTTTCACCAGAGTTTGAAATTAGCGTTCTTTTTCTCTACAATGAGGGTAGTCGGATATTTCTTATCATTTCTTTAGTTTTTGTCCATCGTTTGCTCAGACGCGTGTGTTTTTGCTACTTTTTTTGATTAATAATGGATACAACACCTCAGCAAGCAGCTCAAGCTGTAGCATTACTTCAAGCAGGCATTGCGCAACGTGAAGTCGCTCGAAGGCTTCGTATCAGCAGATCTTCGGTGCAACGAGTTTAGAGACGATACCTAGAGACTGGAGCATTCGATCGCCCTCCAGGTACGGGCAGACCTAGGGCTACATCAGCAGCAGATGATCGTTATATCCACCTTACTGTTCTGCGAAATCGCCACCTCAACGTAGTTCAAGTCTAACAAAGTCTGCGTGACGAACGCCAAGTGGTCATAAGTTCAGATACCGTCAGAAGGAGACTTGCTGAACGGAACCTGACCCTAAAAAGAGCTGCAACAGGCCCAGCATTAACGGTAGCACACCGTCGAGCACGACTTGAATTTGCTCGAGAGCATAGGGATTGGACATTAGAGCAGTGGAGTAATGTACTCTTCACTGATGAGAGCAGGGTGAGTCTACATGGAAGTGATCGACCTCAGAGAGTATATCGTCGCCCTGGAGAACGTTATTCTCAGTGTTGCATCGAGGAAACTGTTGCTTATGGAGGAGGATCTGTAATGGTCTGGGGCGGCATCTCGTTAACAGCACATACAGCGTTAGTTTTCATCGAACCGACGGGCCGTACACGTGGACTGACTTCTCATCGCTACATTACTGAAATCCTCGCAGACCATGTGGTACCTTACGCAGGATATATCGGACAGGATATGCAATTGATGCATGATAATGCACGGCCTCATGTTGCTCATGTGGTGACCCAGTATCTACGCAACGTCAGCATTCGTACGATGGACTGGCCAGCTCGAAGCCCGGACTTGAATCCGATAGAACACTTATGGGATGAGCTGAAACGTCGGGTTCGAGCCCGGGTACCTGCTCCAACAAGGCTTCCAGAGCTGCGAATCGCAATTGAAGAGGAGTGAAATACAATTCCTCAAGATTTTATCGTCAGGCTCGTAAGGTCGATGAATACAAGGATGCTGGCAGTTATCCGAGCAAGGGGAGGGAATACGGAATATTGATCAAAAACTTTTTTTGATTTTATCTTTGTTTTTGGCTTTAATTTTTTTTTCACTTTATCATTACTAACGATTGTCACGACTGGAAAACAACTCTTCTTTGTAAAATCCTTAATAAACACTGAAATATTGATTAAACCCAATAAGTTTCCTTTCATTTTAATCACCATAAAACGCACTTTCTGTAGGTACAACTTTGTTAATTGTAGGTTTTTTAGTTTTTGAGAAAATCGAATTAGAGTGCCTAGGTAGCGGGTGGCTCGGTTTATTTGCTGTCCAGTTTATTTAACACTGTCCGCAATTATACCGAAATCGTAAGGTATATTACACTAAACATTTTAAAAGACAGCGCAATGTACTGGGTGATCGCTTTTTTGTAACCACCTAAACATGGTCGGGTTACCACGGTCTTGCACCGTCTAATGACTTTTATTTAATTAGGTATCTCGTAAATTATTATATGTACGACGCTGAAATTCTACAGGTAGACAACTGAACTAAACAACGAATTATTGGCATAACATTCAGTTTATATATCCACACACAGGTTTATCGGTGGCCAAAAAAGGCCGCACACATTGTGATCGTGAACGTGGAGAGCCACATTTCATCATAACTTTTTAGTCACTTACACTATACATACGAAAATTCGTATACATTTGAAGGTAGTTACAAGCAATAGAATAACGTTTCAAGTAAGTCTTTAGAGGTCTTATTTAAAGTGTTAGGACGTATTGAAGTGTTTTCATACTTACCTAAATAATTTTTAAACGGTCCATTATTTTTGTTATTTTATTGTTGAACAAACTAAAAGTAATCCTTAAGAAGTTTTGTACAAAAGATGGTTACAATCCGCTTACCCGTTTCAGAGATCCAGCAAACCCACAAACGTTACTCCAGCAGGATTTCGAATAACTTCGCAGCCGAAGAAAATACAAATACCAAATAAGTTGTAACATTTATCTAGTCCAGATAACTAATTATTTAGCTAAAATTTATTTCAATATTACAATTAAAAAAGAAAATGTCTGGCTGCGGTAACGTTTCAAACGTTACCCCAGCAGGAAATGTTTTTTTGAAATAACTAAAAAAGTTTAAGTGAAACAACTTTAAAAATGTGCCTATCAATTACAGAAGGGGAGCAACTAATTATCTATAACGTTTAAATGACCATTTTCGACATTATTTTGCTGGGGTAACGCACACGCATTAACGAGACATTTATACTAAACACATTATACCTAAAAATTTATTAAAATAAATTTGTAGTTAACTTACCGGCAAACGCGTTATTACTTATGAAATGTCGTTCTTCAAGAGCACAAGTACCGCCTATCGCTCGCACTGTCACATCGCAACTAAATAATGTCATTGTTGCCGCGAGTAACCTGAACGAAAGAGACTGCTATAACAGCACAACTGTGAATATTTGCTCTGTCTCTTTAAGTAAAGAGAAATAGGGGTTTTACAGTAAACGGAGCGCTATTTTTTCTACTCAACTGTGTTATTAACTAAAAAATCATCAATTTTCAGATAAGTCGACCTTGTAGCAAATGAGCGATGTGTACCCACATAATTACCTGAAATAAATAATAATTATTAGTCCCTTGAGAAAAGACTGTCACGACTGAACACTCCTGTGAGTAAAATATAAAGTGCGCTAAGCATGCTTCATGGGTCAATAAAAACAAGAACTTTAGAAGTACAATTTATTTATTAGGCTTATCAAAATAGTTCATCTGTTTGATATACCTAATACACTGTAAAACAATATTACGTTCCTGACGTATTTCTTTGTATAATAGTTTTTGTAGTAGAGTAGATGGTACTTTTTGCTTATAGCTATTATGTTGCCTATGACCATTCCTAGAAAGAAAGCCTTTTTTAGCATTGAAAGGCACTCTCTTTGTTTTAGAAATTTCTAATGAAGTAGTGGAAGAGGTACAAGGAGGTTCTGTAATGTTCATTTTATCAATTTTTACTTCTTCTGGACCACTATCATTGTCACTATCATCTTGATTTTTGATTGTTTGATCCAAATTATTTTTCAGATTATTAGTAGTAACATTATCTAAATCCTCTTTAATATTACTGTTTACAGTTACCATATGGTTATTTGTATCGTTATTATTAATAGTTTCTACATTTTTATGTAATCTTTCAATTTTTTGAGGTGGTAACGGTTTTGCAACATTGGTAGTTTTATTATCGTTTTCATTATCTTCATCTGAAGACCCATAATCACACATCAGCGATGATAGAGCTCCACACAACACTGGTTCTTGAACAGGCTTAGCTATGGGCTGCTCTATGTGGTCCTCATTATACTCGTCTTCTTCAATTAAGCTATTATCAGGGTTTATCAAATTACATACATCTTCTGCTGTATCATCATCATCCATGCTAATGCTGAGGATTCCAGTAAAGGGCTTTAGTTTATTTTTCTCTACCACACTTGGTACTTTAGGAGTGATTTTGGGCACTTTTTTTGGTGGTGGCTGATCATTCTTAATACGAATTTTCTGTTGATTTATATTTGATTTGTTAGTCCTATGATTCTCATTATTTTTATTAAAACTATCTCTAGCTGCAGGTTGATCTGTGAAAGCATAGAAATAAAATAATATTAGTGTTGTCTGCAGAGTACATTTTGAGATAATGAAACTATTACTAGTTTTTTTTAAGTTTTATAATGTCTGTACGTCAACAATTTATTCATTCTTCTGTCATTCTCAAAAATTGCTCTACATAAAATTCTTTGTCAATTTGTCTTTTAAATACATGACATGGGCGAAATTGTGGTTACCTAGATGCCACAAAGCTGAGATAATGAAATAATAATGTTGAAGTTGAGATAATTAATGCATGTATGTATAATATGTATGTATTTACAAAAAAAGTATATATGTATTTATATCAGTTGTCTAGTACCCATAGTACAAGGTCTGCTTAGTTTGGGAGTAGATGGCGTAGTGAGAATGTGGTAGAATATAATATAATGAATGAATGAAGGTTTTGTATGAATGTTTCAATTCACTTGAAACATATACATATAATTTGTGGTTGCTAAATGTTTCTAGACTTGCAGACAATTTCTGTTCGGTATTAGCATCTGTTACTATGGAAAGTATTCTATTTTTTTTGTGACTGTCTACCTTCAATTTAGTAGATCATATGCAGAAGAGAATTATGTTATTCATAACTTATGGGTCAAGATTTCAACGAATTAATAAATTTTTTAACTCCACATAAATAATGAAAATTTGTTATGTGTAGAAATAAATTATTTGGAAGAGAGATATTATAATATATTATTTTACCTGTTGATTTGGCAACTTTGCTTCTACTTTGTTTTAAAGCCATTTTTTCACCCCTCTTAACTTTCTCTTCATATTCAGCTGCTTTTTTTTCAATGTTAGCTATTGTAGGATATTTCTTTTTTCTTTCTTCTCTCCACTTTTTTATTTCTTCAGGGTTATTTAACTTTGATATCTTTTTGTATAATCCTGATGCATGTTGCATTTGAATATGTCTTGTGATAACTTTTGGGTGAGCAACAAATTGGCACCCATCAATACTGCATTTCTGTAATTTAAGACAATTATTGTTAAATGAAATGACTGATCTACCACATAATACTGGTATACCTTGAATAAGTTCAAGATGGTATTAAGGTCATGCAGGGAGTCTATTGATAATGCAACTGTATTGAAGTACTGTAACTACCCTTAAATTATAGTGTTCGGTTGTTTACTTTAGTGTAAACAAAGCAATTATGATTCATGTTTACAGGTAATTTTATTATTTTACTTTATTGAAAAGTAATCTGCACCTATGGTGACAATGCTGTGTCTGATATGACATGCAAATATTGTTTAAAAGTGTTAGGAATGGATTGCAATTGATGCGTTTGAGTTGAGCAGAGCATGACAAATGATTTTGTTACATGACTATGCTCTGCCTCATGTTGCAAAACCAGTGGAAACCTATCTGGCAATGCTTCAATGGGAAATTCAAGCCACCCACCTGACATAGCCCCTTCCGATTTAACTTCTTATCCGTTCTTGGATATTCCCAAATGACATATTGATTCTCCTATGCAGACTTCATGTACTGCCAGTAAGCAAAAGTCAGAATGTCATACAACCAGTACTCAACTCAAAAGTAAAGATAGCCATTTACTCTCCATGGATAAAGCTCCAAAAGCGGACAACATACCAAATGAACTGAAAAGTGGCACAGTTGAAGAAATGAGTCCAATTTAAACAAAGATTTTCAACAACATTCTTAAATCACAATTAATTCTTGTTCAGTGGAAAGTCTCACATTATACTGCTCGAGAAATTAATGAATCAGTCATCAAGAGAAATTAATTCAATTTTGACCTCGCATAACTTTTGATTGAGTTGATTCATCGAAAAATTACATCAGACCTTTTTTGTAGTGTTCAAATCTCTACAAAAATAGTTATAAAAAAAAAGAAACAGATTTTTTTTTCCTGTGTTATTCTCATGGAAAACCCTAATATTAATACAAAGGGCTTATATTTTCAGAGGCCCATTTAGGCATCTAAACGAAAGTTTTGAGTGTGGTTCCAAGAAAGTCATCTGAATGCTATATATTATTAAAAGCATTGCTTTTTACAACATTGCTTATTACGACATACCTCATTAGTCGACTACATTTAACTAATATCTTCGGAGCTTAGTATCTGTTAGAAGGACCAGATGTATTGTAACCAATTTGAATGGGTAACAGTATCCACATCTAGGGAACAGTATAATGGTCACTGGCTATTAAGATCGCAAAAGTAAACAAAACAAAGTGTCGTGTTTAGGGTCTTTCGTAATAATTAGAAACAAAATACACGTATAACATATAATCAAAGCCCGCTTCTTCATATACAACGCACCTAACATACTGTCGAGCATTTTGTGAAACTTTTAACACGTCGCAAAGAAAAAGAAAGCCAATTAATATTGAGGAAAAATCCTGTATTATATCAAAGCTAGAGCGGAATTCCAAACAAAGACTCGGCAAAAGAATATTGTGTATCACACTTGCTAATTTCGACCCTTTGGAAAGCGAGGTAAATTTATGACAGCATTTTTTTTGAAAATGAAACAAGGCAGAACAATGAAGCAAAGAATGAGGAAGCTTTGTTGAAGAGGTTTAAATATCAAAGGAGAAATAATGTGCTAATAGATGGACCAATTCTTCAATAAAAAGTAAACAATTTCTAGTTAAATTCAGAGTTTCCGGGCTCGGCACGGTATCTTCACTGGCTGTTACGACTATCGATTTTTATGATCAAATATGAGTAGTCGATGTTTTTATAATTGATTTTGACTGTAATTTACAGTTCAAACAGATTGTCAGTTCAGTACAAAAGGCTATACCTATTATTATAAGATAAAGTGGTTTCTAGTAATAAGTAATACTTTGAGTAAAATGTTTTTGTGCCTTATTATTTAAATAAAACATTTACTTAAAAAGAAAAACTAAAAACTTATTCAATTTCATGAGGTGTGGGAATCAACAGATATGTAAAAGAAAAGGCCATAAAAAGGGACAACATTATAAGGAGACAAATTTTAACAGAAAACCTTTAAAATGTTTTTTTTTTATATCATCAACAGCTTAATAGTCCACTGCTGGACATTTTTATATAGTAAGGAGATAAATGTAGGTTATTGTCCACAAATTGTTCATAATAGGACATATGTAGGTTCTGTTTACCTGATGTTGTTGCTTATGTTTTTCGAGTATCTCCGCTGTAGGAAATCCCCTGTCGCAAGTCTCACACCAGTGTTCATCATTGTTCTCAGTAGTAGAATTGTTCATAGGTCGGAAATGTGTATGGGGTCCCCATTGAAATCCTGGATGTGGACGTTTTCTATAAGAACTCGATTGACTATTGATATTCTGAGGGCTTCTATACCTATTGGCCATGTGTGTAAAGAAAGGCGCACTCATTTTTAATGTTTGCTTTATTGCTACCAGATCAAATCTTTAATATAGATTTAGTCGTTCTAAATTATTCCCGGGCACAACTTTACTGTACTATGGGCAAAATTACACTAACGTGTTATTTTCACACTCCGCAGTCGCACATGTCTTCTATCCGTAAACAACATGTTTTCATTGACAACTGACATTTCGTAATTAAGCAGATATATACCACAGATAACTATATAATAGATACTACCAATACTACTGAGAAGTACCCATAGACTTAGTATTCTAGGAAGCCTAAACTTAAATCTTGCGAGTTTTACAGACGTGTGAGCGAGTTATAGTTATGGAATTAGACATCATTCCAAAATATCAATGTCTCAAAATTAGTTTGCATGTAATATCACAATCAATTCTTTTTTGTTTTGCTATAGATAGATAGAACTCTTTATTTGAACACCATTTTACAAGAAGCATGATAGTTACATGAAAGTGTAAGATATACAATGTACAAAGGGCGGCCTTATTGCTAAGAGCAATCTCTTCCAGGCTATATTAAAGAGCAAGAAAACAGCAATAATAATATGGCAACCTAACATTTTTTTTTGTCTTAATGGGGCTTGTCTTGAGTATTATTATTATTATTTTCTGTCCCTGATTTTGAAAATATAGAGCAATATACCAATTAGTTTTTTTAATTATCGCAGTAATTGTTTTGAAAAGATCAATAGAATATTATAACCACTATCATTGATCCTAAAGCATGAATTCACAATTTATTGAAACAAACTATCAAATCCATAAACTAGACCGACCTTGTCTAGGCGACGATATGTCATTATGACAAGTGTTGATAACTTTGTTTACAATATTTTGTATTTTTGTCTCCTACTGTTTACCCTAGAGTGATATTTTCGAAAAAGTATTTCGCTCGCGTTTTAATTCCAACTCTACTTATTGTTATAATCAATTATGAACAATTCCGCAGCAAAGGTTTGTTTGTATTGTTTAGTTTTCATATTCCCGAAATTATATTACTATATCTTTTTTGGTGATTGATTTCAGGTAGGGGAAATATTTACTGAGGCAGGGGCTGCTTTCAATAAGTTAGCAGAAATGACAATGTTATTGCACCCTATGGCCGAAACAACCCCTAGGTAAGTAATGCTACTATTTCATAATAAAAAGACAAAATAGGTTTCCGATTTAGTTCTTTTTTTTTCATGTTATATTTGCCATGGAAATACACGAGTACAAAATAATGTCTGTTAGAACTTAATATTATCAAAGAAGCAATACGTAATAAATCATTTAAGATATCTGACAAGTTGATGCCCTCTCCTTTCGTTGAAGTAGGTTTGGTTAAATATGTGTTAATAACACCTGTTTCCTCTTCCAACCTTAACTTCTTATTTCAGGTGTAGAGTTCCACACCATATGGCTTTAGTCAGTTCAATTCTGGCCTCACAACACCAAAAAAACTGTGTTGGGGTAATGGCTAAAGAGGGTTTCAAAATAAAAAAAAACTGTTTGGTTAAAGTAGGTTATACACAGAAATATTTTTTGTTTATGTTTGAGTTAATTAAAGAAGAAGAATGTATATCTTTTATTAATTTAATGTCCTGAGCTAATGAAGGGTGCAAGTTTAAAGTCAAACATCACCCAGTACACTACTTTTGTGAATTCTTATCTATTATTTTAAATATATATATTTTTAATAATAATGATGCACTTCATAAAGTACAAAGATAATAATGTAATTTTTCTATGATACTTCTTAAAATATGAATGAAATCAAATAAACAATATACTAACTTTACAACTTTTCTGTTCATCAACAAGATTACATATTTAACAGGCATTATATTGCAAAAGGCTGTAGTAAAAAATTAAAGGCCTGTAATGCTTATTAAATATGTAACAGCTTTAATTTCTGTTAATATATAATACAAAAAGATATAAAACTAAATTTAATATGATCAATTTTTAACTTATTTCAGCCAGCAGCCAAAAACACCCGTTAAAAAGAAGTTGCCTGAAGAAAGAACACTGGCTGGCAGCAGCTTAGTTAGTCACGGACAGCATAGTTTACATGCTGCTCCCTTATCACAACAGGTTCATTTACATCATTAAACCATTAATCACTGGTTGAGTAGAAATATTTATAACATATCAAATCTTATTATTTTAGATATGTGAGGGTACCACTGAAAGTTTTGATAACATGCTTGGAAGTAAGCATTGCCAATGAAAAAAGAATTTGAATATACATTAAAGATGTTTTCTAGCTGCTGCAGATATTTTTGCAATAGTTCATCATTAAAAATTACAAAACAAGAATATTGTGCATCATGCATTATGCTAGCTCACAATATGGTGAAATAAATAGATTTAGGCAAGTTTTGTCATTTTTAGAATTACTATTGCAAACAGGCACTAAGACCTGTGACGTTTCAAAATCACATTGAAATTGACATGGAACTTCAAATATCCTTTGTCAAGGTTATGAAATCAGGATATGTTGTTAACTGCCCGAAACCAAAAGAGCATCAGCAAAATTGATGTTAGCCTAAATGAAAAAACATTAAGACAATAAATTGAGTAAAAAAATTATACTAGAAAATAGGAGCACTTGCCAGTCTGCAACTATAGACCGTTAAGTAGTTATTGTTAATAGTTACAGCTACTGCTAACAACTATTAAACAATACTGCTCAAAAACCTATTAACCAAGCAGTAACTTTGTCCACATGATGATTCAGCAACTATTGAATATTTAGAAACATGAATTATGGCCTGATTATTGTTTATAGATGTATGGATTTCATTCTCCAATGAATATATCCAGTGCATGTGCAACGCTGAGAATGAAATAGTTTTTTTTATTATTAAAAAGACAACTCCCGCATGAAGAATATATCCTTGAATTTGTGTATCACACAAAGTGTCGTCCCATGTGGGGATTAGACCCACAACACTCAGCGTAGTAGTGAGCGGCGTAGCGACCGCTTCAACCACTACGACATCCATGCAGTTAAAAAACAATCAATCAATAACATCCATAATAGATATTCTGGAAACTTTCAGTGTACCCCACACACAATTTATTCATCTAAGTGAATAGGTATGTAATTTGTCACAACGTGATCTCATCTAACTTACTATAATATCTATTTAAATATATCAATTCCACTTAAAATAATATTCTAGGATATATTACACATTATTATACGAGCCCCGATGCAAAATAGTTCGTCTAGTATGGAAAGTAGTGCAAATCGTAAAATATAGAAAGTAAATATTGGTAAAAACATTTAGTTTATTTTAACATAACTGAAATTCTTTCATGACTTTACATAACATAAAAAATTTAAAAAAATATTCAAAAAAACATAACGCAAAAGTATTCGTCTACCCTTGTCACTCACGCAAAATAATTCGTCTACCACTTAGTTGAGTCGCCTTTGCTCTCAATGACAGCTTTAATGCGAAGAGGCATGGTTGCAACCAACGCTGCACACTCCTCAGACGTAATTGACTCCCAGACAGCCAAGAGTTTAGCCTTTAAGTCGCTCTTCGATCTTGATGGATTTTTACGGAGAACTTTTTTCATTTTCCACCATAGGGTTTCGATCGGCGACAAGTCCCGGCTGTTAGATGGCCATTCGATTGTAGGGATTCTTTTCGCAAGTAGCCACGTCTTCGTTGTCCTTGCAGTATGGCAGGAAGCACCATCCTGTTGAAAAATGAAGGAATCTTGATGCTTAAGTGACGGAATAGAGGGCAGTAAATTCGCTACCAAAGGTTTTGATACCTTGCAGCATTGATAGAACCATCCATAAACTGCATACCACCAACACCTTGTGCAGACATGCAGCCCCATATCATAAGAGACAATCAGTATAAAATGCCTCATTTTTGTTCCGAATCACTTTTTTCCTTTCATCGCCGACTGTCACTTCAAATTTGGACTCGTCGCTCCAAATGATAGACGAACTCTTTTGCATCAATTAACAATTAGACGAACTATTTTGCTTATAACTTCTTCGAATTTAAAACAGGATATGTATAAATTTAAAAAGCTAAAATAGTTAATTGGTTCATAATTAAAAAATGGCATAAGTAACGTGGCATATGATAGTAGTACAGCTTAATATTTTATGTAGATATACAAAAATAATGAAGTTAGATAAAATCTCACAGAGAAAATTTCACACTAGATGAACTATTTTGCATCAGGGCTCGTATTAATCTAAAACAAGTACCACTTCCATTGTTCACAACATTAAAGTAGTTTACTACTTTAATGTTGTGATTAATATCTCATATGAATGAGACATCAATCATAACATTTTAATATTATTGTATTTCTCTTTTTAGGTCACTCTCAACATGCTAAATGCTCAGGAAACAGAAATGGATACAGATCTTGGTGGTGATGTAAAATTGGAGTTTGAATCAAGCACAGAAGAAGTGACAACATAACTTAGTCTTTATACATACTTCTAGTGTTAGAAATAATATTGTAAAATATTAATACCGGTGAACTAGTAGATGTATTTCATTTAGGCCATTTGTCCAAATGAAAACAATGTAAGTATAAGTATATGTAATGACATATTAATCATTAGCAAATGCGTTTTGTTTTAAATAAAGATGTTACCTTTGTTAATTTTGAAAAACAAATGAGCAAGCCTTACAGTAATCACGTATATATGGAGTGTAATATCTAATACCTCACCTACTGTCTGTCAACCAACATTAGCACTGTGTGCTGATTGATCAAATTAAAAAGTGTGTAAAAACTAAGCCTGTAGGTTTCCTGCTACACAGTTTTGTCCTTTTTCATGAAATACTACCACAGATTGCAGGCAAGTGGGACGAAAGATGTTACTCTTTAAAAATTGCTTCTAATCAAATATTCAATTATCAATGCATTGTTTCCTGCTTTAAATGAAATACAAGATGGTGAAAAATAATACTTTTACTGGGTTGATAATTAACATTTGTTTACAGATTCCATTGTTAACTGAAAACTTTGTACTTTCCTATCCCAAGATGAACTTGGAGATTCATAAATTTTACAATATAAGTCAGTTTTGAGGATATTTTCTATGATAATATCCACACCACTTTTTATTTTTAGATGGTTATAAAGTTCAAATGTATTACCAGATTTCTTTACCCTTTTTTGTGCTTTCCTATAACATTTCCATGGTTGTGGTTCAATTACAATTGTGTTAGAAATACTTTTCAGATATTGTAAAAATTCTAGTAAGCCATTATCACCATTATTAAGGTGAATCCACATAGTTACAGAGAAACAAAAAACTATGTCAAATTTCATTCTTTTGTAACTTTTTAGGAAATGTATTATTGGCAAGCGATCTTCTTCAGACATTATATTAGAAGTGCTAAATGTAATATATGGGTAAGAATTGGATTCCTTAGCCCGAAATATTAATGCAGAATCAATATCTACAGCTAGTATGTGAATGTCGCAATTTGGATAGAGCGATTTTAAATATTCGTAAACAGCTTTCGTCAGATCTCCTGTATTGCAACCAATATCTAGACAAATAAGCTTATTATCTATTGGTGTAGGAAACATTTGAGGATGAAGATTATTTATCCTTTCTTGCACATCGTGAAAGGAGTAGTAGTTGATGAAATTACCATGTTTTACTGCACCTGGATCACTGCCGTAGAAGCAAAGCTCTTCTTTATTTACTTCCGACTTGGTCGGAATGCTCATGGTCATGTTGGAACCTATTCTTTCTTTTTGTCTACAAAAGCAGAAATTTTCACTTAAGAGCTAAAATAACTAAATAAATCTTATATGTTGCTAGTTTGTGTCACAAAAATATAAAATAAAATATAATAATAAATACCTATATGACAAACCGAACGTCTACTAGGGATGCTTGATGATCATCGATTTTCGTTGATCATCGATGTTAAAAGATAAAACATCGATGTTTTAACATCGAAAATGCATTACACAAAACATCGTAACATTGATTTCACGGACACAATCGAAATTTCGTTGCGGACACACAATCGAAATCTATCAGTTTTATGAATACACAATGGTATCACCCACATTGGGAGTGTATGAGTTAACAGAAGTGCATACCGCTGAATACATTGCAATGGTTGCCGTTACTAACTTGCGAAAAATGGCTGATAGGTACAAATAAAGTATTGGCAGTGGTGCCTGATGGTGGAGCATATGAAGCGAAAGTTATTGATAGTGCGTTTGGAAAAAAGTAAGTCATTTCTTTAGCCCACTTGCTTAAATTAGTGGCACACAAATCTATTGAAAAACTGACCAATTGCCAAGCTTGATTGCATCCGTTAAAAGAATAGACATGTGATTCAAGCGATATGTTTCAGCAAAAGATGATCTACGGAAACAATCCTAACTGAAATTGATTACTTTAAAACTGCGTCCAGCTATTAACCAAATTGTGAACTGCCGTAACTGTAATTCTCCAATTGTAAACGCCAAACAGATAGAAGAACTCACTGAGATCGCAACTTAAGAGGCATGCGGAGAAAGCTTTGTTACCAGCAGCAAAGTTATTCCTTTAACGCTAATGCTCTATTTGTAAATCGACGGTCTGCACCCAAAACACGTTAAACTGAAAAAAATATGCGATTTTATGGTCGTTTTATTTATTGATGAGCGTTTTCAAAAAACACCGATGTTGTCTGACATCGATGTTTTTTGAAAACACTCATCAATAAAGCACAAAGCTTAATAAACATCGAGTTTCGATGTTCTGCTATCGTTGCCATCATCGATGTTTTTGCAAAATCGATTATCCCTAACGTCTACTACAGCGGTTGGTGATGCAATCTGAGATTTGAGATCCATTAATCGTAGAATCGATTGTTGGCAGTTTTTTTTTAATTTGGCCTGAATTAATAGTTGACCCTTAAAAACTGCAATTCGATTTTATCTGTTTAAATAAGTATTTGACATTGGTATATAAGGTAAATACTTAAAAGAAACTCACTTCATGTGATGCACTTGCACCTGAGTAACGCACTTGCACCAAAAAACGATTTATCGCAAAAAGTTGTGCACCTGAAGTATACTTCACTAGCAAGAACAAACAAAAGCGAGCAAAAACATCACATTAACCTACTCAATAGACATCATGAAGCAAATGAATCATCGGTGAAGAGTTCAGCGTGAGCCAATCGCAACATCGAACGTGGTCACCGTGACGATCGAGTAGATGTGAAATAAACTCAGACTAGGCTCTCAGTACCTCGCGAGCGCCGGCAGCATGGCAAGTGGTGAACAGAACCGTTTGGATCCTAGTAGACTAAACAGACCGTTGTTACTAAAAAGTTAACATTAAACACTACTGCTAAACTGTAATTTCAAAACTGTTTTATGGAACTCATTTTATGAGTCTCCAGCCTTATGGAGTGTGGAGGCAAGGAGAACCATTTCATATGGTTTAAAATTACGTTATGAATATAGCTCTTGTAGACTGAGTGAAGTGTGCTGAGTTAAAATATTAAAATACTTTTACTCTCTGATAAAAACTTTACTGTATTGTCTGTACAGCTCATTGACTATTTTCGCAGACTAGTACATAGTGTCTAATTATTTTTTAAGCCAATAAAAAATTATCTTAAGCTACTGCAGTGCCACCCTTATTGTTATTCGAGGTTTTGACATTTGTGTATTTTGACAATGCAGGGTCATGAGCATAGTTACCTACGTAGACAATCTGTGTTAACGTAATAATGGCCTCCTTCGACAGAGGGCGCTTTTATCAATTTCATGCACATTTTAAAATATTTTTTGAAAAATAATATCTTTAAATGTATTGATAGTAACTGAAGCACGCAACTTCTTTGTCTTCGAAATTGAATTAAAACTTCTTCGTCGATTGTGACAAAGACAAGAGGAAGGTTATGTGTTAGACCTAAATAATATGTCCGTATCTATGTTCTCTGGTAAATACTAAACGGCTGAACGTTTACGTTACGTTATGGAATTATATGTCGTTGTCTATAAGTAAAGTACGAATTATGCATTCTTAAACTGAAAGTAGTTCGGAAATACTCGTACATAATGAAACTTAAAAGGAACACAAAGTCAAACTATCAGAATGGCAATGGCAAGTGGCTTACGTGAGTACATACCTACATGGGCTTTCACCCCATCGGGGTTTGCGGTAGGGCGTTGTGATACCGCATTAAGGGCTCGATGTCGATGCGAGTGCCTTCTACTACGAGGTTGGATCCCCCAGGTGGCCCCCTCCAAGGCTCATGAAAAAACAAAGCCTCAGATTTGTTAGAGACACCTCGAGTCACCGGATCGCCGTTACGAGCATGTCATCCGCGTAGCACGTGACGACGACATCATCCAAGAAGGCACCGGGGAGCACATAGTAGTAGCTGATATGCCACAAGAGCGGCCCTAAGACCAACCCATGCAGAATACCACACCACATTTCACGTCCTACTTGGGTAGATGAAGGCTGCGGACCCCTAGCGCCTGCCCTTTAAAAGCGCTGTCACCACCTTCGGGTGTAAACTCTCATTTAGAAGACGTCCCAGATACGAGGACGTCACCTCCTGGCGGTAGGCCTTCGTGGCAAGTGGAGGGAAAAACCCGGCCACCTGAGACCACCAGCCATGGAGCGCGTAACGGCTGGTAACGAGAAATCCTCTCCAATGACTACAATGAGAGCCCGACGCTACGTTGACCAGTGGTTACTGAACCGAGTGCAAATTGCACTTCGGTGGTGACGGGCGCAACTCATTTCACTCCTAGCGATCGACTGCTGGTACAGACGTGCCCAGAAAAGATCTGCATCAGTCGGAAGGAAAGGGTCCCGTGCTGCCACCCTTCCCACTAGCCGATGACTGTAATCCAAAATGGATAGAAATTGTTCAATTGCTGCTTCCTGGATAAACATCAAGTGATCGACACGACATCACAGCACGTGTATTCAGGCAAAAAATGCGGTCCCTGATGAACATTGTTAAACGACGCGTCTTTGGAGATACTAGATGCTGGATGTATTCAATCGAATGACAAAAACGAGGCCTGCCGCACGCACATATTATTATTTGGTTAGTGGAAAGAATAAAACCAGACCAAATACATTATATCGTGTGGTGACGGATTAAGAATACGGAATGTTACCACCCCTATTTATCCCGTGGGTGTCGTAAGAGGCGACTAAGGGAGCAAACTACGCAGGACAACAGCACTGCAAAGAGAAGGAAAACTTGAAACAAACCCTATATCAACCCGTCTGGCCAGCGTGGTATAGTAGGCCAAAACCTCCTTTCTAAGGAGAGGCCTATGTCCAGCAGTGGACTATTCTAGGCTGTTGATGATGATGATGATGAAATACATGATATCATATGTGCCGAGTTTCCTGATCACAAAGCCGATCCAGACCTACATGATGTTGTAATTACAAATATGATTCATGGACCGTGTGGCGCCATCAACCCCCAATCACCTTGCATGGCCGAAGGAAAGTGTTCCAAATGATATCCACGGAAATTAACGGCCGAGACCGTCACTGGCAACGATAGTTATCCACTGTATCGGCGTCGATCACTCGATGATAACGGTCGAATTATCACAACAAGAAAAGAATAGATTTCGTGGTCGACAACAGTTGGATTGTTCATTATTCGCCACTTTAACGTTGAGTATTGCAATTCAGTAAACTCCATAAAATACATCTGCAAATATGTCACGAAAGGCAGTGATATGACGGTTTTTGGCATACAAATCTTCAACGATGAAATTGCGCACTATTAAGTTGGTCGGTATGTGAACTGCATTGAAGCGATTTGGCGTATAATCGCCTTCCCTATTCACGAACGTCATCCTACTGTTGTGCATTTGGCGGTGCATCTGGAGAAAGGTCAATACATATATTTCACGGCTTCGAATGTTGTTTAACGATCTGAAACACATCCAGCGACAACATTGACCAGTTTCTTTGCGATCTGCCAAAGCGATCCGTTTGCACGAACTTTAATTTACTCGGAGATGCCACGTTATTACACTTGGAATGCTTCATCGAAGAGTTTTCTATGACGGAAGCAAGGCGATGCGGTTCTTGGTTATCCGGATGTGCGTTCTACTGATCGTATGTATACAGTTCATCCAAAGAATGATGAATGCTTCTATTTGCAGTTGTTGCTGGTAAATGTGCGTGGGCCAACGTCATTTGAGTCACTACGGACTGTTTGGGAATATTGTACAGAATGGTACAATATTCCCAACATATCGTGCTGCATATGAAGAACTCAATTTACTAGAAAACGATACCCATTGGGATGCCACAATTGTTGAAGCAATTATATCTGCATCTTCAAGCCAGATACGCATATTATTTGCTATCATCAATTCGACTTGCTTTCCATCAAACCCATCTAACCTGTGGCACAAACACGAGGATAATACGTCATAAGATATTTTACATCAAATTCGTGTCAGTTCAAGAAATCCCGATCTTGAGATGAATGAGGAAAAACATAATCGGGCTTTGCTGTTACCTCATGTGCAGTAGTTTATTAGTCTGGTTAGGAATGCCAGAGCCAAATCGTGAAATGAATGACGCATTTAATCGAGAATTAGAACGGGAACGTGAATATGATCATCAGGAATTAGATTTAGTAGTTCAAACGAGTACCCCTGTTGAATCCCCAACAAAAGGAAGTTTATAATACACTAATGAAGGCAATTGATGATGGAAATGGTGG